GTAGAATCCCATAAGAGTTATTTGCACTTTAGTACTGACTCTGTGCATATATTGGTTTACTTTGCTTTACCATTTGATTGGTCTGAAAACTCAGGCCACCCCCTTGTGTAACTCCTGTGCGCTTTTCCCTGCTTCAGACCGTTCAGATGTAAATACTTTCAGTTCTAATAAGTTCCCAACGATATTTTTTCCAAGCTCTGATTGGTTTTTGTGGTTATTTTTTTTTTGGGTTTGTGGGCCTTAATCCCAATGCAAGGGAATGGTAGCTGTCACCATTGGTTAGAACTGGCAAGCCACGTGGGCCAATTCGTAAGATGAAATCGGCCATTGCTCGGAATCGTTCAGAAAATTTAGTCATTTTCTAAATCAAAATCTATGATAAACATTTAAGCTGAAATCAATTTAAATTCCCGCTAAGAAAAGCCTATTTTCTGCTTTAACTTGACTAGCTTAGCCAGTTACTTTCTAGTAATACTGAGGGACACCTCCTTCGACAGCTGCTGAAAAAAAAAGTAATTTCCACGAATGTACGTTTTTTGTCGCGTTCATTATACAGTGTAGATGACTCTGACGATGGGGCTCTGGATCGTTTCAAGACTAAACTTGTCTTAAGCTCAAATGGAGACATTATGTGGATGGCGCCAAAAATCCTGACAAGCTCCTGTAAATTTGACGTTACTTACTTTCCTTTTGACAAACAGGTAAACCGACACGTGTAAGAAAAGAAGTAGCCACTGCACGTTGCAAGTGAAACTGTGATTTGTCATTGTTTGAGTTCATTCTATCTGAATATTCAGTTCATCTCCAGATACCATTGGTGAGACTATCAGGCTTACAGGGAATTAATTACTCTGATCGTAATCATTTATTATTTGGTGGACTGTTTGAGCTGATGTAACGGTGATATCAAAGGAAAGAAAGAAACTTATAACGTATCTAATTACCGTCATCGTAACTTCAGCAAGTGACATTTGTTATTGTGGAGTAAGCTGTTTGAAACTATCAAACAGAACTTGAAATACAAAAAAAAAAACAATAATTGGCTAATAACAATGTTTTTTTCTTAGACCTGCAAAATGAAGTTCGGTTCATGGACATATGACGGTCTTCGACTTGACCTTATCCCAGAAGGAGGAAAGAACATGTGTGATGGAGACATTAAAAAGTTCATCAGACACGGAGAATGGGACCTACTAAGCATGCCTTGCAGTCGTAACGAACTTGTTTACGCCTGTTGTCCAGAGCCTTATCCGGACGTTACTTACACCATGACGTTGAGAAGACGACATATGTTTTATTTCGTGAATATGATCGCCCCCTGCTTTCTTATATCAGGTAGGTGGTTGCCTCGGTTCTGAAGTTGTGTCATGGGAACTGAGAGATTATGTCATAGGATAAGATTATTTATCATAGAAACTACGGTTTTATACAAGGATTTCCAGCCCGGAGAAGAGCCGTTACATGAAAAAATACGATATTTTTTCGCCAATCAGCTGCTGACACGTCATTCGCCTCTCGCGCCACTTGGTCAGGTTGATGAATGAACGGCAAAGCCTTCACCGTTCTCAATCCAAGGTCCTTTGTCGGAGTTTTTCGGATTATGGCTGCTAAAACACTGAAAAATCCGTATCGCTCGCAGACAGTTACGTTCAAACTTCAAAATATGAAAAGAAAAACCGAAAGTTACATATCCATTAGCTTTGGTAATGGCATTTCTCGCGACTGAGAACGAAAATCGACAGCTGGAAGATTTGCTTTAGGCCGGAAAGGAGGGAAAGGACTTCAGATTTTGTTATTTACAAAGGGTTAAAAAAAAAAGGGAGAACAAAGAAAAACTGATTGATTAGAATTAGACGTTGGCCAACGCATTTGAGTTGTTAACTAAAAGGGAGGTATCGAGATTGCCCGGACATTAGAGGCCAATTACAACGCAAGTCTCAAAGGGGCCGAAACCCTTACTATGTCGACCTTTAGGGAATGTTTAAAATGTTTTTGTTAAACATGGCAACCTTTGTATTACTTTTCAGCGCTGACCCTGTTGTCTTTCTATCTTCCTCCTGAGTCCGGCGAGCGTCTCACACTCGTTATTACAAATCTCCTGGCCTTGACAGTTTTCATGTTGTTAGTGGTAGAGATTATACCAGCGACCTCTGAGACTGTACCTCTAATCTCTGTTTACTTTTATGGCAGTGTTTTTGAGGTAAGCTAAAAATCATTCAAACTTTTGACCAATCCTGGTTTGGGAGCCATCATCTCCCCGCTGTGTATGCTTTCAGGTGTAATTCCAGCTATCAAAATTAACTAAATATCCATCGGATCATTTAGTGTCGAGTGGAATCTGGGACTGGAATTTTCTTTTTTGTGTTCTACGATTGGTCGCCCTAGCAAACCTTTTAACAAATCAGTTGAAAAAGCGAACCACATCAAATCGTGTTCTGGTCATTGGTGATTTCCCGAGCTTGAAAGAGTTTGTATGCATTTGTGATATTATCCGCTTTTCAGTCCGTTCATTTTCATGTCTTTGCTTTTTCTTTCCTCATTTTACTATTTTCATCCGCCGGCATTCGTACAAAATGAGTCGTTGATGTCATGTTATTCATTTGCATTATGTTTTTCAGGTGGCTTTGGCTCTCGTTGCAACGTGCCTCGTCTTGAGGTGCTATTTCAACAACCCCTCACATACACCCGTTCCGAACTGGGTGCGTCACATAGTGTTGGGTTGGATGGCTCGACTTACTAAGGTACCTGTCAAGAAAATCCTGGATGGCATTGATCCTAAAGAATCCTCAAAGAAAGACCCAAAGCAAGATGAGAACGATATCTCAGAACCTGGAAATGTTGTTCAAGGGAAGATTCCAAACACCTCGCGTCGTAATTCATCACGTGATCACCTGTCACACATTTCACCCAATCTACCTGGCGATATACAGCCAAGACTAAACCTTTTACCGTCAATTCAGCGAGCTAGAAACGCGAATCGTTTAAGCATGCCCCACTTTTACGATGGTATTCAAGTCGGCGGTGCCATGAATGATCTGATTAGCAGTCACGCTGCCTCGAGGCACAATCTTCTGGACATCGCGCCGCCATCGCATTCGAAGCACGTTTTCGCGAATCATGTGAAGTCAGCAGACGACGTTAGAGGTACTGCTGATGGCGTGACAAGACAGCTGTTAGAGACTCAGACAAATCTCGCCAAAGATGTAGCCGAGGTAGTGCGATATATTCAAGACCAGGAGATGAGCGACCTAATGAAGGAGGAATGGCAACTAATAGCTATTATCATTGACAAATTTTTCCTCTGGTTGTTTTTGTTCATTCTGTGTGTTTCTACGATAATCATCTTCATGCAAGCTCCAAGCTACGCGTGGTCTTAGAAATCTGATATTAGATGTAGCTAAAAAAAGGATTTTTAACTCGGTGTTTAATACCAGCAATTTATTGGTATTTAAGTGCATACCAGGCTATTATTTTCTTATAAGTCATTACAAAGGGGAGAGGGGTAAATGTACTCTGAGCTCCTCCAAGGGCTTTGGTCGGTCGAGCAGCTAGGAGGAAGGGCGAAAAAACCAGTGACTTCCCAAGAAATATTTCTTTGAAATATCGTAGCATGACTAAACTATAAAGATAATCAAGTACCGATGATCACAGGCAAAACATTTAGTCGACGCTGCATATTGGTTGAGATCATTTATTTTAATGGGCAAGCATTGCCTCCGACCTACAGTAGAAAATATTGAGGTGACTTACACACGGCTAATGCGACATGATGCAGTGATAGTTCTGACGTGTTCTTTGCCGAATTTTGCGAAAAAAAAGTATGTTTTGGGATAACGTTTAGTTTGTTGCATGAGGTTCAGCTGGTTTGAACTCAAATGCAACATTAAGCGGGAACAAAGTTTCCTCTTTTTGCAATATGGTGCCTGGTGCACTTCTTCCTAATGCAAACCAAACCCAGAACAGAGCAGAGAAACAACAGAAGATTCGGACTTGCCGTGATCAGTTGACACACTAACTTTCCCTGAAAATGAGCTTACTGCATGCATTCATGACGGCCCCTCCCAGTAATGTTTACGACTTCTTACTAGCAATTAATATAATAGAACAGTGGATAGCGTTGAAGGCGCATTTTGATTGGTTACTCAAATCCCAAATATCCTTTGCTATTCACCTCCGAGTAACGCGCGGGATTTGCCCCCGAAAATATTATGACCGCGTTACAAGAATAAATGAGTTAAAATCATCTTTCTGTGCTTAATTATCTCATTGTTTTAGGATATGCTAAAAAAAACTACAGTGTCAGTGGCTAGCTGAGGATATTTACCTCGCCGCTTGGCGGTTGGGTAAATATCCACCACGAGCGACCTTCACTTCGTTGAATAGCTGTTAATTTTTTCTCTTCATGATATTGAAAAAGTTCACTAATGAACAAAATTGACTCAAAGGAGCTATCGCAAAAGAAAAGTTTTGATAATCACCCTTTTTACTAGTCTGATAATATACCTGGTAATTGCTTCTTAGCTCATCTGGGATTTTCACAATAAACCTTTCTAAGTGAACAATTTTATGGTCGCTTTTTAGTTTGTATGATTACAAAACTGAGTATATACCAAGTGATTTACTAAGTATATAACTGCCTCTTTTACATTCCTACATATTTCTGTTTTTGGAAGAGTAAACCTAATTAAGAATATCTAAGACTATTCTTCAAAGATTCAGTACCAGCTTAGTTGGATCCTAATTTCTATATAACTTTGTGTCTGATAGAAAGAGTAACGCATATACAGTTATGCTATTGGTTATTGTCTGCTGTATTCAGTTTTCCACCGTATGAACGACAGCGTTGTTCATAACAAGACCATAAACCTTAAAATAAACGTTTACTTCACCACTTTGATACTATTGCTGTTTCTTTTTTTTCCACTTATTTTCCGATTATTCCATTTAATCCTCGCAGTTATAATTTTTATTGCAATAACGTGCCATGCAGTGATCATTATCTAAACCATGGAAAAATAAAAGATTGTTAATGTAGACAGAAAGAACATAATTAAAAATAACATACGAAAAGCACGATCCAAAATAGCGACCACCGTGTTCCACTCGTCTTTTTTTTCCTGCACATCTTCGTTTTTGGCTACTTCTTTGGTCAGAATTTGAACACATTCCAGCAGCTTCTCCTGCATTTTCAGCATTTCTTCCATTCGCCTGTCGCCGTTGTTTAAAGGCTTCCTGACCTCGCCATCTGTTCCCGTCTCAGAGTTATGCTGCTCTACTCCATGATCTTCATTACTGCTTAGACTCACATCGCTGGATTGTATGCACCAATCTTCCACCTGCGAGACGGACATTCTCGGGATAGATTCCTGCTCCCTTAGTCCAGGCCCTGATTTATAATTTCCTTTTAAGACTTTTGAATGAGAAATCCGTTTGACAAGTGAGTGAATATCGTTATGGCGTGTAGCCAGGCTGTGGTCTGGGGATGAAGCTTTGTATGTGGAAGCGTTCTCAATCTTGGTTTTTTCATTTACTCTGTACTCCATTGCAATTTTATTTCTGCGCAGAAAAGTAACATCACCTAGTTCTTGTATGTCCTGTTTTCTATGGCGAGGGACTTTAACACGGAGTAATTGTGCCATCCAATTGAAGACAATGTGTCGAATCCAAACTGGCATGTCTGATGAAGCAGGATCGTGAAAATGGCACTTGAGAATGAAGCACGTGGCGAGAAGAGCCAGTGAAACCTAAAGGAGGATATATGTATCAAGCTGAATGAGCAACTGAAGACGGATATCTTGCTAGATATTAACTTATTTATGATAACAGAGGAGCGAGGTCCTTGAATATTTTCGTCGACTCTGAGAGTTATAATATGTATTAATTGACTGAGTAGGGAAGCCGGACGAAAAATATTTGGCTCAAGGTCATGACGTACGGATTTTAGCGCAGCGAGGTCCGTGCGTCATGACCGAAAGTCAAATATTTTTCAGTTCGGGCTCTCCTACTCAATTAATACCGGTATATAATACAAATAACAAGATATGGAAACAAAGATATATCAATTCGACCAAATGCGATCAAAATGTTCTTCGACAAACTACGTCTTTGACATTTTTCTGATTTTAAAATTAAAGGAGTTGACAGACATACCTCAAAAATCGCACCACTAAAGTATATTGATATGACTGGTATCACTTCTGAAGTTGATGGCATGATATCTGCCACAAGCAACATGAACACAGTCATGGCTAACAGATTTGTGATCACCAACGTGATACGTTCACCAGAATCAGGGGGAAGGTAGAAAGCCGTTACTGTCAACACTGTAATGGAATAATACATGTATGAAGGGGATAAGTTTCTAAAGTAACTGGAATGCTGCGATAGTGTATGTGTGTGTGTGTGGGGGGGGGGGGGGAGAGAGTTTTTACAGGATTTATTAACTTAGATGATATTGAAAATTGGCCACCACAAAGAGTTTTAAAAACAGCTGACATTTTGAGGGTTGGCCCCTTGTCAAAGCGAATCGGGCATTGACGAAGGGCTAGCGTTCGAAACGTCAGGTTTAAAATCATACGTATACGTCGAGATCCAAATTACGTTTTACACTTAATAGAATGCCTGAAGAACAAATCAGATGGTCTCTAAAAGTAACCTCTCATCACCGAGAAAATGTGAATTTTTCTTCATCAAAATAGTAAGGACTTTGATTGTCATTATCATCATCTTGACTGAGGACAATTTTAGTTTGCGAGGTTATCATAATAAAAGTCAAATTTTTTTTATGGCTCAGCTTATAATTTATTACTTTTGCAGTTTCTCTTCGTTACCTGTTATCAGCAGACATGGTATGATCAGATTCATGTAATAAAACAAAGCCAATCTCTGTATTCTCAGGGTGTAAGTAACATCCGGGTAGGGCTCTGGACAACAAACGTAATAGATTACATTCCTCTTTGCTGGAAACGAGATGAGTTCCCATTCGCCGTTGCTGACAAACTTTGTCGTGTCTGCAAGGAGTGCCTCTGGTACCATGTCCACACGAAAACCATCGTACGTCCAGGAACCGAATTTCAGATCACAAGCCTATTAGTAGACGAATCATAACTGTCAAAAACTTCAAACTGCTTGTTCCTTTACCGTGATTCTAGGTCTCATGAATTATTTTCAGGGACATCTTCAATTGAGTGCCGAATGTAATCCGGAATTGCTTCGTTTTTGCAATACTTCCTTATGTGATTGGTCCAAAAACCTCGCGCCACTTCCTAAACCAATCAGATACAAAACTAAAACCAACCACAACTTGATCATTCGAGTTTCCCCGCTCTTCGGGCGGTTTGCTTGTTTGTACTTCGAGTTCTCAGTGGCTATTTATGGTGATATTTCCTTGCTCGGATTGCATGGCTGTTGTGATTGCTTTGGTTCTCGTTTTACAAAATTCAATCGAACTGTGCTCTATCTTTGAAATCCGAACGTAACCTTGAATCACATGTTAATCAGTGGATGTTTCGGAGATCCTTACCTGGGTATCGAAAGGGAAATACTTGACGTCCATCTTACAAGAGCTGTACAGGATCACAGGTGTTAGCCACATGTTCCAACCAGTTGAGTTGATTACTATCTGTGTATGAAACTGATCCATTCCACCCTCACGTTCGTGGTCAGCGCTAAAAATTAAACTTTATTATAAGGAGCTTCAAGTATAAGTAACCAGCTACGAGCTGAAAAGTGCAACATTGAAAGAATGTTATTCGTTACTACTACTTTGAATTCTCTCTTTCGTTTTATAAAATCATTTTAAATAGAATACTTCACTGATCACAAACTGCATTTAAGAACAGATATAAGCATATCGTGTAGAGGGTAAACGAAAAAGCTCTTCCCGAGAGTTTTTTGTGCCACAAGTGTTGTTTGTAAAGTCATATTTTAATATTCTAAATTTGGGTTTGAAACGAATGCCTGAACTGGCTTTGGTAGTTAGTCTCGTTGGTTTAATAATCAAAGAGAGCTACAGGTCCAAAAACGTTTATCATCCTCTTACATTCCTTACTCCACTTAGCTGACAGGATTACATTTTTAACTTACTTATTGTATAGGTAGATGTCTGGTATCCAGACCTGTGAAGAGTGAACATTGACGGATTTTATTCCACCAAAGTCTGTTTGGTTCCAAACAAGGAAAGGATTGTTCCAAACCTATCAGAATAAAATGAATCATTCTACAATCAGGGTAGGGTAATTTAGCATTATCAGCTGAGTTGATAACGTGAATTGGTCACCGTAAAGGGTGTGAATGGCACATCACTAAATTTTGAGTTTAATTGATCATGCTTTTTTTGTAGGGTAATTTGGCATTATCAGCTGAGTTGATAACGTGAATTGGTCACCGTAAAGGGTTTGCAAATTGAAAGCTGACGCTTCGAGTGTTATCAACTCAGCTGATAATACTAAATTACCTTGTTATACTCTCCCACCGACGCAGCACCACAGTTTATTTAGAAACTTACCTCTTTATTCATGCCTTTTTATAAATATATGAGAAGCTAAACATACAGGCATTTTGATTGGTTCTTACTTAAGATCTATTGGAAGACAGACGCATCATTTTGGCTCTTTTATCGTATAAAACAAATTATGGATTCAATACTGCCTTGGGTTTGTACAGTAATAGATCACAGAAAAATGTTGAAAGAGCTTCAGTGATACACTCGGCTGCTCCTTGCGCGCCTCTTTTTCGTTCTTACCACATTTTGACGTCATCTGTGATCTATCTGACTAAACAGATGCACGGCAAAGTGGAATCTATATGTATAGCTAGAAAAAGCTCAATTTCCCTTCACTCATCCCTTTTGGTCTTCTATACGATACTAGATATTATACTAGATACATTGTGCAACCATCTTTGGTAAGGTATCCAGGAAACAGAAATTCCTACCTGTCTGACCCATACACTGGTCTGCAAGAGCTGATTCTTCTCGTCCTGCAGAAAAGTAAATAAAAATAAAATATGAATCTCTCGTAGCCATTGAAAAGTTGCATCAAGCCTATCGCGTAATAGTTTAATACTTTCCGGTTGTTTGGATTGAGTTGTGGTCGTAAAACACAACACATCACAACCTCTGTTTTCGCTGGTAAGTCGTATTGAAAAAAGCGGGAGATTATTTTATTTTGTTTTGTTTTTATTTTTTGAGCCTAGAAAACGGGTAGTTCTTACTACAAGTCTACGCGGTAGACTCCAAAACCCATCAGCAACTTAACTGAATATTTATGCAACAGAAGTGGACAACCTTTCTACATCGTTGTCTCCATTTGCAACTTTTTTGAAATTTCATAGCGAAAAATCTCCGAGGAACTCTTTGAAAATAAGATTCTGGCAGACATGAAGTAAGCGTAAGGGTGTAAATGAAGCTTAGGTGGATGTTTGTAATGTGCTAATTTCTGATTTATTATCAACAGTTCTTCTAAAGAAGTTAGTGAAATACAGGAAACCTACTACATTAATGATCTGGTGAAGAGAAATGCCAAAGGTGACAGTGACGCGGTCTGACTTGTTCTCGACAGGCCGCAATTGTGGATTGTAGTTGGTAAACAAGTATTTCAACAACCGCTGTTCGTCGTCGTCGTCTATTCTCATCTCAGGTGCAGAGTTTCCTGGCACTAGTCAATCACAATTTAAATGAATTAAAAATTTGATTTAGTAAACTGCATCAAGTGAACATCTTCACTTAAAAAAAAGCAACCTAATTTGCCCTAAAATAGCTGATAAATCTCGGCCACACACACAAGCAATTCAGTAATGTTAAGGACACCCACACTCATCTACAATTCATGAAACAACACAGTTAGTACTCTTCGAAAAAAAAAGTTCAGCGTAAAGCAGGTCCATAAAGACGCATATCGTTGTGAGTTTTTTTTTCTAAATTTATTTTTTTTCAGGAATCAAGTGCTTCTTCTCTGCAGTTTTTATAAGTGTGGGACTTAAAACCCAAATTTGAGGTTTACAGTGGTAGTGAAACACAATGAGAACGCTTTTCATTTTCACTGCAGGTAATTCAATCAGTTTTACATATGCGGTTACCGTTCGTATTTGGTTCGAAATTGCGGACGTGCCTGCGTGTTTCATTGCAGGTTTTAAAAACCCTTTCTCTTTGATTAACCTACCTTGTTTTGTTGAACATCCCGACAGAAAATAAATGGCAAGAAAAATTATTTTTGGAAAGGTGAAATCTCTGATGAAAAGCCACATCTTAGCATACGCAGCAGAAACCCAAACTCCAGTCTCAAAATCAGTACGTAGCTACGGACGATAGAGAATTCTGGCAATTGTCTTCAATCCTTCTCCTTCTTAGAAACTGAAACTAGAGTAAATGATAAAAACCTCCCGTGAAAAGTCGTCAATATGGTGATAGATAGACATGCAGTTGCTTTTACACGTGTTCAAACCCAGTTATATTAGGGTCCCCTGAAGGCATTTAGTTCCTTTTTGAACAAATAATTCAAAATCATGTCTCAAGCCGGTTAATAACATCTTAAAATGTTGAATTACAGAGTTAAAGAGGATGCGGTATAGTGGAATTAGCAAATGATTGGTCCGCTTCTCCAAAGGATTTGTGGCCGGGAGAGCATTTGATGGGCCTTTGTAGAGGATGTTTTTGGCGCAGCAAGTCACACTTGAATTTTTTTTCATACAAAAAGTCTATCATCGTAATTCTTTGGCTCTTGTCGAGATTCACTGCGCGATGGAATTAACAATTACCCCCAAAAAAATAAATAGAACGAAAAAAACAAGAGCTGTTGTGATTAAATTACTTCCCTACCAACAGAGCTTATTATGCATACATCATCCTGTTATCAAGGAATTGAAAAATATTTTTACTTCCCCTAATACGATGTCTCTTTCAAAATGAAATAATACGCGAAAAAAAATTAATAAGAAATTAAGGAATATTGATAAACCGAAATAAAGAACCGCCTTAATGCATTTCAGGTGAAGCTCTGATGTATCTGATGATGCTTCGAGTTAAAAAACTCCACTCGCTCGCTATAAAAATAGAAGTGTTTTCTTCCGGTAATTTCAACGCCTGGGAAGCAGATCAAAACTTTTTCCGTCTTCATTTGCTTTGGAAGTCTTAGTGAAAATTATGCCTAACAGACGTTTGTGATGTTATCTGTTTAGACTAAGCCGGTATATTCAGTATTTCACACATTTTTTTTAAACGAAAAGTTACACGTGCCAATCTTTTACGATTCCATTAAGCAAATTTATCATTCCAGCCCTAAAAATTGCGTTTGGAAGTCTTGTCCTCGAGTAAAGGCACTGTGTTGGTTACAACAATTCCAATTTTTTCTTGGGGGATGACAGAGCTAAATGTATATCGTGGAATTCACCGATCCTTTACTAATGTTATATACTCACCAGTTAAACAATTATTGGCCGATCGCGGTTAAATCTTCTATTTTGTACCACTTTAGAGAGAGATTACAACTTAATATCTTTAACAATGTGGCTCACTCCAATTTCAAAAGCCTAATTTACATTTATGATAATTGGAAACAAGCAGGTTTCTGACTCTAACTTTTAGCGCGGGTAACTATCTTAACGTTTTTAATTGGGGCCGGTAGAGGCGTCAAAGCAAAGTTTAAATAAAACTGCAAATGAGCGTTTTGAATCACTTCCAAACCCACGAGGAAAACTCTTGCTTACATTGTAAAACACTCGTCGAACTAAAGTGGAAGGCGAATCGTCTCAACAGCCATCTTGATAAAATTCACGTTACGTACGTAGTACGTTAGGGAGAAAAAAAGCTTGGTGAAAGACATGATTAAAATAATGTATTAATTAAATAATTTTAAAAATCGGACGCATCATCAGTCAGTTACCTTCGGTAAAGATGAGCTTCTAATTTGAACGCTTTCAGTCTCTTGACTCAGGAGAAGCTTATGTTTTCGTGTCACCTACAATTAATTTTCCGAACGGTCTTGCCTTAATACAACTACCACTCTTGTTCCACACTGAAGATAATTACTTTATTTCAATGTAGTCGTGAGATAATTACTTGTGTTCTGATTGGTTCTTACTTAGCCCGTATTTTGCAATACAGACCGTCTCCGCGGAAACGGTCATGGGCCTTTATCTTTGCCTAGACAAGTCTGGTCTGAGTGCCGTGTAATTATAATAAAAAACTAATTACTAATTTTGCTTGCCCGAGCTGTACTGGAAATTATTGGTCCTCGGTCGTTTTTGTCTTTTATTGCCCTCGGTCCGTACACCCCCCTGCCACGACCTCGGGCCAATATTCCCTGGTAAGGCCCTGTTAGTAAGAAGTTGAAAAGAGAGGTGTAAATTGCATTCTTTTTTGGCAGAATTGCCTCGTTAATTGAAGGACTTAATCAATCCTCATATGAGAACAATTCACTCAGGGGAGAACTAAATTGAGACTGGAACATTTCCCGAAACACAAATTCGTGACCTTCTTCTAAATCTGGAAGGCGTGCGTAGAATAAAATATCTGACCTTGGCCAGAAAGAAAATGTTGTTTATAAATTCTAACTTCCCCTATTGTTAAATGAGTCCATCCAGTCTATTGTCTGTATCTTTTCAGTCCTTTGATTATCTTCTTTATATATTCCGTTGCATGGTGAAACAATTGGTAAAATGAACAGCTGATTATATATTGTCGGGCATATTGCTGAGATAAAATAAAATGGAATTTGGAATTCCATTTTTTCCTTACCTCAACATAAGTTTCACTGAAATGATAAATTTACCGCGCGTATAATAGTCCATATATTTTCTGAATGTAAATATTTCCAGAACCATTAACAACATCTTTTTAACAAGCACAAACTATAAAAACCGCCATACAAACTACCTTTGACCGGTTCTGTCGCCCCTAATTATGTGGTAAGATAGCGTGAAAACAGATGGCTGGGCCAAAGGATTTGAGTGCCATTGGATTGCTTACCTAAGACCGATTAAGGTCAAATGCATTAATTAACTAAAGGGTATCGTAGAAAATATACCCGACATCCTAGCTAATTCTTTATTTCATCCCTTGACAGCGGTTAAATGCGTTTGATTCTGGTAAGCCGAGCGGTTCAGTTATGTATAGAAAGAGATTTATCAGCTCGCATTTTAAAACTTTCACCCGTCTATTTGTATTTGAAGACAAATTTATCACATCAATAATAACACTGTGGGTTGCGGCGATCCTATCTCTGAACCATTTTCTGATTCACAACAGACAAGATTGATCTGAGAAATTAAACCTAATTGAATTATGAAAAAAAAATGTATGAAGTTTTTTCATTTATTTTGTTTTTAAAGAGCTAATAGTCCACTCTTTCAACTGGTCCTTCGGACACCCAAAACACTGGGGGAAACTGGGTATCCGTGATAATCGCGTAGACTCAACTCCATGCAAGTGTATCACGAACAGATTAAAAGCCAAGAGAAAGGTTGTTGTTCCAAATTTACAAGGCCTGTCGTCTATCGTGTCGCACGAGGCTCGTTCGGGATCAAGTTTCATTAATCAAAATATATTGTAGAGCAGTTTTGAAAGTTGCCTTCTGCTGACAAAAACCATTTTTAAGAATAGACTTATAACTAAATTAATTTTGTCAAACAAGCATGGTCGAGTTTCATAAACATGAAAATTAATGATGTGGGTGTAAACAGGTGAAGTGCACTCTTCATTATCATCAACAAAGGGCCCCGAAATAGATACGCGACAAAGCGGTGAGGCGCCTGAATGCAAAACTAATGCAACCGTCTCACATACTTTGATATAGTAATTGTTATGAGTAGAAATTTTCACGATTTATACCCACCAGTTAGCTCATGGTAACGACAACTTTTTCCAGATTTACTCAGAATTAAAGGAATCGCCCCTCTTTGCAATGCTTAAACCGTGTCTAGAAATAGAAGAGAACTATTGGAAAAAACGTTTGTTTGGGAAGAAAGATCCTAGAAAGGTGACGATAAACCAAAACGATATCAGGGTGGCTTGGGATCACGATAATAAGTTACAAACGACTGACTTGAAAAAAAAAGCCTTCGTTTTAAAGATGCACCAAGGGTGGCCGAAATCTTTCTAAGCCAATAAATATGTAGTTCCCCGGTTCACCGACCGGGTCAAACAGAGCACTTGTGGTTAGCACCTTTCAGCAAAGAAATTTGGCGGTAATTGATCATACAGTAGGGCATTTTGGCAAATTCACGAACTCTTTGGGTTTGTTTGATCTTAGTTGACTTGTTCTCGGTTGTCAACCAAGCATTTACTGTTTAGGCCTACTGTGGATCATCGTCTTGTAGGCGATATTACGCAGGTTTATTTTTATTAAAAACAGTGTCTTTTCTTTACATCCGATCCGACATTGTTCCAAAGTTTTTTCACATTTAAGAGATCAATGTATCTTCCATATCAGTTACTAACCCTTCTCTTGTTCTTTAGAGATGTTCAGATAACACCGCCAACTGAAGTCCAAGAATTTTTTCATTGTTTCTTCAACAACCTCTCGACCGGTGTGTCTATGATCCGCATAAAAAAGAAGTATTAGCTTCGATTCTACGTGCACAATTTCTTCTGTAGCTTTGATGTGTTTTGTCAGATGTTTAAATATAAATAAATCGGT